ATGTCAGGGAGAATAGTGCGTCTGCATGTAAAAATATACAAATTAGGTATACGGACAGAGAAATACATATAATAATACAACATACATATATAATACATATAATAGACAAAAAAAATGTTAGCTAGGCTTATGTGGAGACATGGCAGATATATATATATATATATACTGCTCAAAAAAAATGAAAGGAAGACTTTGTAATCCGAGTCTAGCATCAAGTCCATGAAATTCCTGGGATATTGATTTGGTCAGGTAAGTCGCAGAGGGAGTTGTTATTCAGTTTCAGCTGCTTTGGTGTTGATTAAATTAACAACAGGTGCACTAGATGGGCAACAATGAGACGACCCCAAAACAGGAATGGTTTTACAGGTGGAGGCCACTGACATTTTTTTCTCTACTCGTCTTTTCTGACTCTTTTTCACTAGTTCTGAATTTGGCTCGGGTCATTGTCACTACTGGTAGCATGAGGCCATACCTGGACCCTACAGAGGTTGCACAGGCAGTCCAACTCCTCCAGGATGGCACATCAATACCTGCCATTGGCAGAAGGTTTGCTGTGTCTCCCAGCACAGTCTCAAGAGCATGGAGGAGATTCCAGGAGACAGGCAGATACTCTAGGAGAGCTGGACAGGGCCTTAGAAGGTCCTTAACCCATCAGCAGGACCGGTATCTGCTCCTTTGTGCAAGGAGGAACAGGATGAGCCCTGCCAGAGCCCTACAAAATGTCCTCCAGCAGGCCACTGGGTTGAATGTCTCTGAGCAATCAGAAACAGACTTCATGAGGGTGGCCTGAGGGCCCGACGTCCTCCAGTGGGCCCTGTGCTCACTGCCTGGCACCATAGAGCTGGATTGGCATTTGCCATTGAACCCCAGAATTGGCAGGTCTACCACTGGCGCCCTGTGCTTTTCACAGATGAGAGCAGGTTCACCCTGAGCACATGTGACAGACGGGAAAGGGTCTGGAGAAGCCGTGGAGAACATTATGCTGTCTGTAACATGGTTTTAGCATGACCGTATTGGTGGTGGGTCAGTGATGGTCTGGGGGGGCATCTCCATGGAGGGACATACAGACCTCTACAGGCTAGACAATGGCACCCTGACTGCCATTAGGTATCAGGATGAAATCCTTGGACCCATTGTCAGACCCCACGCTGGTGCAGTGGGTCCTGGGTTCCTCCTGGTGCAGTGGGTCCTGGGTTCCTCTTGGTGCTGTGGGTCATGGGTTCCTCCTGGTGCAGGGGGTCCTGGGTTCCTCCTGGTGCAGCGATTCCTGGGTTCCTCCTGGTGCAGTGGGTCCTGGGTTCCTCTTGGTGCAGTGGGTCATGGGTTCCTCCTGGTGCAGGGGGTCCTGGGTTCCTCCTGGTGCAGCGGTTCCTGGGTTCCTCCTGGTGCAGTGGGTCCTGGGTCCCTCCTGGTGCAGGACAATGCTCGGCCTCATGTGGGGAGAGCATGCAGGCAGTTCCTGGAGGATGAAGGAATTGATACCATTGAATGGCCCCCACACTCGCCTGACCTAATCCAATAGAACCCCTCTGGGATGTCATGTTTCGGTCTATCCGACGCTGCCAGGTTGCACCTCAGACTGTCCAGGAGCTCAGTGATGCCCTGGTCCAGATCTGGGAGGAAATCCCCCAGGACACCATCTTAGGAGCCTCCCCCGATGTTGTCAGGCATATATACAAGCACGTGGGGGCCACACAAACTACTGAGGAATGACAGGATGACAACACTCCATCCATGTCTCCCATTTTCTGTCCTGTGTTGTCACCCTGTCCTACAGGCTTCACTTCCTGTTATAGGATGACAACACTCCATCCCTGTCTCCCATTTGCTGACCTGTGTTGTCACCCTGTCCTACAGGCTTCACTTCCTGTTATAGGATGACAACACTCCATCCCTGTCTCCCATTTGCTGACCTGTGTTGTCACCCTGTCCTACAGGCTTCACTTCTTTTTATAGGATGACAACACTCCATCCCTGTCTACCGTTTGTTCTCATGTGTTGTCAGCAAGTCACTAAGGCTTCACTTCCTGTTATAGGATGACAACACTCCATCCCTGTCTCCCATTTGCTGTCTTGTGTTGTCACCCTGTCCTACAGGCTTCGCTTCCTGTTATAGGATGACAACAGTCCTTCCTTGTCTTCCATTTACTTTCATGTGTTGTCACCCTGTCCTACAGGTTTCACTTCCTGTTATAGGATGACAACACTCCTTCCTTGTCTCCCATTTGCTTTCATGTGTTGTCACCTTGTCACTAAGGCTTCACTTCCTGTTATAGGATGACAACACTCCTTCCCTGTCTCCCATTTGCTGTCTTGTATTGTCACCCTGTCCTACAGGCTTCACTTCCTGTTATAGGATGACAACAGTCCTTCCTCATCTCCCATTTGCTTTCATGTGTTGTCACTCTGTTATACATACTCCTCTTATAGGGTGACAACGCTTTCTTGTCTCCTAGTTGCTCTCATGGGTTGCCCCCCATGTCACATAGGCTTCACTTTCTGTTATAAGATGACAGCACTCCATCTCTGTTTCTCATTTGCTCTCCTTTGTTGTCATCTTATAACAGAAAGCCTCTGTGACATGGTGACAACCCATGGGAGAAATTGGGAGACAAGAAAGTGTTGTCACCCTCTAAGAGAAAGTGAAGCCTGTATAACAGGTTGACAACACAGGACAGAAAATGGGAGATGAGGATGGAGTGTTGTCACCCTATAACTGGAAGTGTAGACTGTGACTGCCAAGAAATGAGAACAAATCGGACACAGGCTTCACTTCCTTTTATAGGATGACAACACTCCATACCGGTCTCCCATTTGCTCTCCTGTGTTGTCACCCTCTTGTAGGATGACAATGCTGTCCTGTCTCCTAATTGCTCTTATGTGTTACTTTGTCACATAGGCTTCACTTCCTGTTATAGGGTGACAACGCTCTGTCCTGGTTTCCCAATTACTCTCCTGGTTTTCCCCACTCTGTCACATAGGCTTCGCTTCCTGTTATAGGGTGACAACACTCCGTATTGGTCTCCCATTTGCTCTCCTCTGTTGTCACCCTCTTGTAGGATGACAATGCTGTCATGTCTCCTAATTTCTCTTATGTGTTGTCACTTTGTCACACAGGCTTCACTTCCTGCTATAGGGTGACAACGCACCATTCTTGTCTCCTATTTAATCTCTTGTCTTGTCACCATGTCAGATATGCTTCACTTCCTGACACAAGATGACAACGCTCCGTCCTGGTTTCCCAATTACTCTCCTGTGTTACCACTCTGTCACATAGGCTTCGCTTCCTGTTATAGGGTGACAACACTCCATACTAGTCTCCCATTTACTCTCCTCTGTTGTCACCCTCTTGTAGGATGGCAATGCTGTCATGTTTTATAATTGCTCTTATGTGTTGTCACATTGTCACATAGGCTTCACTTCCTGTTATAGGGTGACAACGCTACATTCTTGTCTCCTATTTAATCTCTTGTCTTGTCACCATGTCACATATGCTTCACTTCCTGCTACAGGATGACAACGCTCCGTCCTTGTCTCCCATTTGATCTCCTACGTTGTTACTCTTTCATACAAGCTTTACTTCCTCTTAGAGGGTGACAACACTTTCCTTTCTCCGAATTGCTTTCATGGGTTGTCACCTTGTTACTTCATGGTTACATAATACCCTTTATAGGTTGCGAACACTCCATACCTGTGTGACAAGGTGACAACCCATGACAGCAATCAGGAGACAGGAAAGCGTAGTCACCCTACAAATGGAAGTGATGCCTATGAGACAGGGTGCCAACACAGGATAGCAAATGGGAGACAAGGATGGAGCGTTGTCACCCTATAACAGGAAGTGACTGAGCAAGCACCTTATTGGCAGGATCACCAGGGAATATTTCAATATTTAAAATAATGACCATAGTTATTGAAGTGACTTCATCCCATTCGATCCTCTATGAGATCGTAGCGGCCGGGCTTACATCGACTTTATGGAGAATGGCAGCTGCTTCGATCGTCCAGGAACCCCGCGCCGCCGGCATCCTGCTTCTCACCTCCTCTGCCTGTGAACAATAGACGGAGACAAGGAGATATATATTTCTCTTCCTGTGAGCGCGGCGCTCATCTGCATCGCATTTGGCAGCGGCGGTGAGCAGGTGCGCGGACGGCGGAGTCGCTGGCACACACCGGCCCCTTCCTCGCTCTCTTCCTCCCGCACGCCTCTTCCCACTTTTCCAGTTTCCGAAAAGTGAGCGGCTGCCCCTTCCAGGTCCTGGGAGAGTTCCTCGTTCTCTCACACCAGAAGCCAGAAAAAAAAAAAAAAGTCTCTGGCTCGCCGGAGTGACAAGGAAGCTGTTTTCAATTACGGAGCTGGAAAGCCTCCACCGCGCCTCCCGCTGCCAAGATCCCAATCCCAGCAGCTCTCGGCGTCCCGGATCGGATCAATGTGGGAGTGGGAAGCTTCGGAGACGGATGGGCTGCCGTCAAAGATGGCAGCTTAATCCGGAGCGCGGCGAAGGCACTCCTAACATCGAACATTTCTCCGCGTCTGAAACTTCAGAGACTTCAGCGACATCAGATTGGAGACTTTTACCTTTAGGCCCCGGCCACGTGAGTGGGTTTTCTCCTGCATTTCCCGATAGTGGAAATGATGGTGCCCATTGACGTCAATGCAATGCATTTTTTAAAAAACACAAACACATCTTTGTTGCAATTGCAGCACAATTTTGGCTCCATAGGCTTCATCAGAAACGCACCAAAAATGTATGTAAAATGAATATACGGGCATTTTGTGTTTAAAATCCAGTCTCCTCCTATGAAAAAAAAAATGTCATGCATGAAAAACGCACAAAGTTGCAGTACAAAAAAGACTGAAAAATGCATCAAAATGCAGCAGCACTAGTGTGAACCTGGGCTTAGGGCCGGTTCACACTACGGGAAAGGCGTGTACCATGATCTGCGCCACAGGCACACGTGCTGCCCCCTGCGAGACGTGTGTGGGTGCCATTAACCACTTCCAGTCCGGACACTTTCCCCCCCTTCCAGTCCGGACACTTTCCCCCCCTTCCAGTCCGGACACTTTCCCCCCCTTCCAGTCCGGACACTTTCCCCCCCTTCCAGTCCGGACACTTTCCCCCCTTCCAGTCCGGACACTTTCCCCCCCTTCCAGTCCGGACACTTTCCCCCCTTCCAGTCCGGACACTTTCCCCCCCTTCCAGTCCGGACACTTTCACCCCCTTCCAGTCCGGACACTTTCCCCCCTTCCAGTCCGGACACTTTCCCCCCCCCCTTCCAGTCCGGACACTTTCCCCCCTTCCAGTCCGGACACTTTCCCCCCCTTCCAGTCCGGACACTTTCCTCCCCTTCCAGTCCGGACACTTCCCCCCCCCCCTTCCAGTCCGGACACTTCCCCCCCCTTCCAGTTCATACACTTTCCCCCCCTTCCAGTCCGGATGCTTTCACCCCCATTCCAGTCCGGACGCTTTCACCCCCCTTCCAGTCCGGACACTTTCCCCCCTTCCAGTCTGGACACTTTCCCCCCTTCCAGTCTGGACACTTTCCCCCCCTTCCAGTCCGGACACTTTCCCCCCTTCCAGTCCGGACACTTTCCCCCCCTTCCAGTCCGAACACTTTCCCCCCCTTCCAGTCCGGACACTTTCCCCCCCTTCCAGTCTGGACACTTTCCCCCCCTTCCAGTCCGGACACTTTCCCCCCTTCCAATCCGGACACTTTCCCCCCTTTCCAATCCGGACACTTTCCCCCCCTTCCAATCCGGACACTTTCCCCCCCTTCCAGTCCGGACACTTTCCCCCCTTCCAATCCGGACACTTTCCCCCCCTTCCAATCCGGACACTTTCCCCCCCCCCTTCCAATCCGGACACTCCCCCCCCCCCCCTTCCAGTCCGGACACTTTCACCCCTTCCATTCCGGACACTTTCCCCCCCTTCCAGTTCGGACACTTTCCCCCCCCCCCCCCTTGCAGTCCGGACACTTTCCCCCCTTCCATTCTGGACACTTTCCCCCCCCCTTCTAGTCCGGACACTTTCACCCCCTACCAGTCCGGACACTTTTCCACCCCTTCCAGTCCGGACACTTCCTCCCACCCCCTTCCAGTCCGGACACTTTCACCCCCTTCCAGTCCGGACACTTTCACCCCTTTCCGGACACTTTCACCCCCTTCCAGTCCGGACACTTTCACCCCCTTCCTGTTCGGACACTTTCACCCCCTTCCAGTCCGGACACTTTCACCCCCTTCCTGTTCGGACACTTTCTCCCCCTTCCTGTTCCGGACACTTTCACCCCTTCCTGTTCGGACACGCTTTCACCCCCTTCCAGTCCAGACACTTTCACCCCCTTCCTGTTCGGACACTTTCACCCCCTTCCAGTCTGGACACTTTCACCCCCTTCCAGTCCGGACACTTTCACCCCTTCCAGTCCGGACACTCCCCCCCCCCCCTTACAGTCCGGACACTTTCCCCCCCTTCCAGTCCGGACACTTTCACCCCTTCCAGTCCGGACACTTTCCCCCCCCCCCCTTCCAGTCCGGACACTTTCACCCCCTTCCTGTCCGGACACTTTCACCCCCTTCCAGTCCGGACACTTTCCCCCCCCCCCTTCCAGTCCGGACACTTTCCCCCCCTTCCAGTCCGGACACTTTCTCCCCCTTCTTGTTCGGACACTTTCACCCCCTTCCAGTCCGGACACTTTCACCCCCCCCCCCCCTTCCAGTCCGGACACTTTCACCCCCTTCCTGTCCGGACACTTCCCCCCCCCCCTTCCAGTCCGGACACTTTCCCCCCCCCTTCCAGTCCGGACACTTTCACCCCCTTCCTGTCCGGACACTTCCCCCCCCCCCCCTTCCAGTCCGGACACTTTCACCCCCTTCCTGCCCCCAGGCCAATTTTCAGCTCTCAGCGCTATCACACTTTGAATGACAATTGTACGGTCATGCAACACTGTACCCATATGAATTTTTTAGAGACAGGTAAAGCTTTATTTTAGTGGTATTTTTTCACCACTGGTTTTTTTTTTTTTTCTATAAATGAAAAACCAAAACAAGAAAAAGTGTTTTTCTTATACAATTTTGCAAATAAATCTTTCTTCATAAATCTCTGCCAAAATTTATTCAATTATCTTTTTAGTAAAAAAAAAATAACCCAAATTAGTTTTATAACCAAAAATTATAATTTGTCTACATTTTTATTTAATTTTTTTATATTAATATATATATTTTTTTTTTTAACATACCGTCACCCTAGCAGTACAGTGTATTACTTGTGGGGGGTGATGAAGGTTTTTCTTTTTTTGTTTTTTTTTTACACTGATTGCTTTACACCCATAAAGGCTGTAAAAGCAAGGCACAACCACCACCAAGACAAACCATCAAACAACGGGTGGGCGGGAGGGAAGTTTGCCCTGTGAAAACTCTCTTCAGACTGAAAACCCTGCCACACCCTGTAAGACCACCCCTGCCACACCCTGTAAGACCACCCCTCGTAGCTCCCCAACTCCTTCCTTAACCTATTTTGACTCCCCCTTATGCTAATGTGACTCTGCCTCTCCCAACCCCCTTTAACCCCTTCGTTCAGGTCTTCTTTCTTCTTACTCCGGGCCTTCCTGTACTAGGTCTCTTTGATCTGAATTCTCTATAATACATTGCAATTGCAGTCAGATTCAGAAAGCTTCTCACAGTCCTTTGGGGCAGCACTACAGTCTCTTTTCATGTGTGTTGTGCCAGTTTCCTTCTCTTTCAGGACCATTCAGAGAATGAAAACACTGGCATCCATATTAACTTAGCTGCCAGGGTTGCCAGGTGCACATGATGAGTGCCAGAGTGAACATGTGAGTCCCAGGCTGGACAGCACTATCCAAAACGTATCATTCGGTTTTACTTTATTGCTCCTGAAAAAAAAATCTCAGACTAGATTCTTATATCACCTAAAAACTTCAATAGCTTCACTGGAATTCCTAGTTCCAGCCAACCATCATGACCATTAAATTGATCCACTTAACTTCTCGGTTTCCAGTATAACCATTAAAAGCTCCCACCATAATTTCCTGTTCCAGGCAAACCACGATAACCCTAAAATAGCTCCACTGTAATTACCAGTTCCACTCAACCAATACGACCATTGAAGAGCTTCACTTGACTTCTCAGATCCAGTCAACCATCGTGACCATTGAAAAGCTCCAATGAAATTCCCAGTTCCAGCCTACCACCATGATCATTAAATAGCTCCACTTGACTTCTTGATTCAAGTCAGCCACCATGATCACTAAAGAGCTCCACCGGAACTGCCAGTTCCAGCCAACCACCATGACCAATAAAATAGCTCTCAATTTACTTCTTGGTTCCAGTCAACCATCATGACCTTAAAGAGCTCCAATGGAATTCTCAGTTCCACTCAAACACCATTACCAATTTTGAGTGCTTCACTGGTATTCTCAGTTCCAGACAACCACCATGACCCCTACATAGCTTAACTGAAACTCCTAGTTCCAGCCAACCACCATGACCGTTAAATAGCTCCACTGGAAATCCCAGTTCCAGTCATTCTCCTCGGGTTTCTGTTAAATTACTCCACTGGAATTCCCAGTTCCAGTCAACCACCAGGACCATTATAGCACTCCACTGGAATTCCCAGTTCCAGTCAACCACCAGGACCATTATAGTACTCCACTGGAATTCCCAGTTCCAGTCAACAACCAGGACCATTATAGCACTCCACTGGAAATCTCAGTTCCAGCCAACCACAGTGACCATTAAATAGCTTCATTGGAATTTCCAGTTCAAGCCAAACACCATGACCATTAAAAAACTCCACGGGAATTCCTAGTTCCAGCCAACCACCATGGAAATTAAAGAGCTCCACTGGAATTCCCAGTTCCAGTCAACCACCATGAAGATTACATTTTTTCACTGGCATTCCCAGTTCCAGTCAATCATCATGACCATTAAAGAGCTCCACTGGAATTCCCAGTCCAGCCAACCATCACGACCATTACAATGCTACAGTTGTGACCAAAATTATTCAACCCCCCACTGAAATTGAGTGTTTTGGCCAGTTTGACATTGCTTTTGATCATTCAGTCATCTTGCTTACATTTACATTAAAGAGGCACTTGTAGGTCAGACAAATATAACATAACAGTTATTTATAATGAAATAACCACAAATGTCTTTTCTGTGCTCACAGCATTATCAGTTTTATTCAACCCCCAAGTGACATTCAATCTTAGTACTTAGTACAAGCATCCTTTTACAGTTATAACAGCTTTTAAACGTGAAGCATAGCTTGACACAAGTGTCTGCAGCGATTCTAAACGGGTATCTTCGCCCATTCTTCATGGCAAAGGCCTCCAGTTCAGTCACATTCTTAGGCTTGCGCACTGCAACTGCTTTCTTTAAGTCCCACCAGAGGTTTCTCAATCGGATTTAAGTCTGGTGACTGCGATGGCCACTCCAAAATGTTCCAGCCTTTCCTCTGCAACCATGCTCTAGTGGACTTGGAGGTATGCTTGGGATCATTGTCCTGTTGAAAGGTCCAACGTCTCCCAAGCCTCAGGTGTGTGACGGACTGCATCACGTTTTCCATCCAATATCTCCTGGTACTGAAGAGAATTCATGGTACCTTGCACACGCTGAAGCTTCCCTGTACCTGCAGAAGCAAAACAGCCCCAAAGCATGATTGACCCTCCACCATGCTTCACAGTAGGCAAGGTGTTCTTTTCATCATAGGCCTTGTTCTTCCTCCTCCAAACATAGCGTTGATCCATGGGCCCAAACAGTTCTAATTTTGTTTCATCAGTCCACAGAACACTATCCCACAACTTTTGTGGTTTGTCCACATGGCTTTTGGCATACTGCAGTCGACTCTTCTTATTCTTTGGAGACAGCAAGGGGGTACGCCTGGGAGTTCTGGCACGGAGGCCTTCATTACGCAGTGTGCGTCTTATTGTCTGGGCTGAAACTTCTGTACCCACATCTGACAAATCTTTTCTCAGTTCCTCAGCAGTCACACGGGGACTTCTCTCCACTCTACGCTTCAGGTAGCGCACAGCAGTCGAAGTCAGCATCTTCTTTCTGCCACGACCAGGTAGCGTTTCAACAGTGCCCTTTGCCTTGAATTTGCGAATGATGCTTCCTAAGGTGTCTCTTGGTATGTTTAACATCTTTGCAATCTTCTTATAGCCATTGCCCTTCCTGTTGAAGAGAAATCACCTCTTCTCTTGTCTTCCTGGACCATTCTCTTGCCTTCACCATGTT